TGAATGAGCCTTATTGGGTCCAGATGAAAAACCCAACAACAAATAGAAACCATTTTAGATAAAAAATAGCCTCAATACCTTTAATCTCTTTTCTTTGGCCCGTCTATTTTGAAACCAAATTTTAACCTGAGTTTCCGTTAAGTTTAAAGATGTTGAAAAGTCTGTCCATTCGGCGATTGATAAATACTGTTTCGACTGAAACTTTCTTTCAGTGCTAGTAACTGTTGAGTAGTAAAGGGCGTTCTCGGCTTACGATTGCTTTTGTGTTTCCTTAATTGACATTTGATTGCTGGAGGTTCACAGAATGATGTAAATGCAAAAGGCTTGAGCCAAGGATGGTGATGATGATGATGATGAACAGGTGATATTGATGGACTTGATGGTGTCATTGGTTTAGCTGGTGGTGAGCTCGGTGTCGGTAGAGTATTAATTTCTCAGTCTCAGTAAATCGCGGTCCTGTATCGATTGGCCGAAGTAACCATTTTACAGCTTAAACTTAGAGCTCAAAAGTCAACAAAAAATGTTAATTAGTCCAAACAAGTTAACTTAATATTAATGAAAAACGTTTAACTTTGATTAATTCAATTAACTATTGATTTCGATAAATAAGACAAATTATTCATTTACATTAAATTGCGCAGTGAGATCAATAAGCTATCAAAATGAAGCTTTATATTTCAATGACTAGTTATCCATTTGATGGGCAAAAATTGGTCAACGGCTAAAAAATTTTTGGCTTAGTTATTGAAGCAATTTCCAGGTAACAACATGTGCGATGTCATGAAAAAAGCAAATTTTGCATTTACATTGATCATTTTATTTCAAGTCCAGGCGCAAGTTGAACAATACATTTATTGATTGAAAGACGTGTGACAAGATAAATGGCTCGGATAAAATAAAACATAATATGGATTAAATGTAAGGATTAACATTTTGCACTTTTGATTCTCAACTCAACGGCAAAAGATGATGCGCTGGAAGAGATAGCAGATGAGCCTAAAAATTGAACGATGCAGTTTGGGCGAAAAGTAAAATGTCAAAATAATACCGTTAACATTTTTAAGCTTCTTTACATCATTAAATAATGATGCGTGATGGCACTTTGATGCATTCAAAAGATGCGATTAAAAAGTTGTCATCAATTGTTCAACTCGAGGTTCTTAGAGAATGTTTTTTTTGCAAAAGAACTCTGAACGCGAATCATAAAAGGGTTTACAAGGTGGTTCTTTGCATGAGCCCAGATAATTTTTTGCCAGTAAAGGTTATTGGAAAAGTGGACCAATAAGGGTCAGTTGAAGCAGTAAATTTGACAAAAGGATAAGAGGAAAGGTTAAAGACAACAGTTGATGATAACTCGAGAAAAGAAGGGAAAAGTTATACAAATGTATTCAAGTTGAGTTGAAAATTATCATCACAAGTGACAAGAAGAAGAGGAAGAAGATGGAAAAGAAAAGGTTAAAAGAATTAACCTTTAACCTAAATTGGAGCAAATGGGTCAATATGAAAAGGTAATAATAGCAATTATGTTTGTCGATAACAGACTCAAGTTGAACTTATAAAGAATTGTGTTTAAAGTTCAATTTTTCAACCTTTCCCTTTGCTCTTTATTCACACCTGATTTACAGGAATATCTTTGTTCAGTTTATCTTTTGCATGCAAAAGGGCAACTTTTAATGTCCACTGTAAACCTGGATTCTTTACCTGAACCTATGCTTATCGATCGTTTTTTTTGTTCATTTGTTTTCTTTTATTCTTCTTCTTCTTTTTTTGTGGTCATCTTCACGTTCTTAATATTGTTGTTCTTGAGGTTTTTCGCTTTGTTTTGTTTTCCTTCTTGAAAGTAAAGTCCGTTTAAACGGGCACCAAGCTGACTGGGATTTAGGTAGGAATCCCAGGAATCTTTTGTTCTGTTTGTCCAACACAAACTGGACATTCAATTGTTGAGACAATAATATTTGCACATGAGCTTTAATCCATTGTCAATAAAAAGGGAAAATTTTTTGCAACCAAACTAAAATGATAATTAATTAGACTTGAAATGCTTTTGTTGTTCACGGAAATTGAAAAGCTCAAAGAGCAAAACATGAATCTTTGAGATGATTTTGTTTCATTTAAAAATTTAAATTATTCAATTCTGCACAAAATCATTTCAAATATAGACTCGAAAATGAAAAGTTCAAGAAAAGTCGAGTTGCGCACAGAAAGACTTGCAATTTGCAAATTCAAAATTATTTTCATAAAATCTTTGCATAATTGATTGGAAAGTCATTTGATCTTGACCAACTATGGACGCAACGAAAAGTCATGACAAAAATTGTCAGTTTGTTGTGATTTCAAAAGGCTTTCAATACTAGCGATTAAAAAGGTTTCTTTGAAGGAATGGATATTGAACGAAAAAAACTGCTCATTTTTTGGCGACTCGATCAAGCTATTAATTGCTCCGAAATGATTGAAACATCAATTGTTGAAAGTGTATCAGTTTGTCAACTGATACAATTGAATGAAGGAAAATTAATTTGCAAATTTCCGGTTGATTAAGTTTTGATGAAAAGTGATTTACCAATGATTTACTTGTAAAGGAGCAATCAAAGTACAACAAGAATAGCACAAAGAATTGGTTTGTTATTGCTTTTTATTTGCCTGTTGAACCTTTTTAAACGTCCTTTTCATTTCTCATTATCAATTTACAATATATTTATTGAGCTATTTAACTGCCATTCCGTGTTATATCGGTTGTTGTTGTTGTTTTGGTTGTTGTAAGACGGAAGAATGAAAGAAGAAAGATTAAGTGAAAGAAAGAGGAGAAACACAGAGAACACACAAAGGGATGAACAGAGAAAGAAAGAAAGAAAGAGAGAGAGGATCAACAAGAAAAATGGTCGACACACAAAAAGAAGCTAATAATAAGAAATGGGCACGAGTCGAGGATTAGATAAGCTCAGGGCACAGGTTAACAGTTTATTGGTCACAAGGATTATCCTTATTTTCACTCTCATAGGAAATATTTGTTTCTCCCGTTAATCTGTTCACTTTAACCGGAAAACTATTGAATCTAAAACATGAAGATAAGGATGATAATGAGACGATAACTGACAGACACAGTGAGAAGGGCGAAAGAGAGAGAGAGAACGAGAGAAAAAAAAGAACAAACGGAAATTCGAATTTTGTCGACTTGCATTTATAAATATTCATTGGAATCAATTGATTCTTGCTCTTTACTTATCCTTTTGCTCTTTTCATCTTCTCATCTTTATTGCCTTTAAATTTCACTTTAATTTGCTCATCAATGATTAGCACACAAAACGAGGCAAAAGTGTGCCAACACGCAAAATCTCATTGGAACGCGTGCCGAACCTTGGATTCCTTTCTCTCTCTCTTGATTGCTCTTTCCATCAATGATGATCAAACCTCTTCTCTTCCTGTGAACACTTTAATAACTCCTATTACTCCACTCCTTAGCTAATAATCACAATCATAAACTAATCTATTGATTGGTTATTTCCGTTAACAAAATAACCTCACCTTTAAAACCCATTTTTGGACCTTTGTCCGTTCATTTATTATTCATTTGTTTGCAAAATTGTTTGTTTGTTTTATCAACTTTCATTCACTTTTTTTTATTAATCAAAATTAATATTCCCATTACCGGTAATAATTGTGTTATGAATGAACCAAAACTGTTAATAAGATTAAGTTGCTGATAACCTACACTTGAATCAATATTTGAATTGAGATTATTTTCAGTTGAAACTCAATTTTGTTCAATTTTACTTTTTCTTCTTCTTTTGCAAAATTATTGCTTTTCATTTCAACCTTTTTTTATTTTGAAACATTTTTGCGACTCTTGAGTGCAACAGCAAAAAATAGGTGTTGTGCTCGTCTTGCTGTTTTACACCGGATTCATGGTTTAATCAATTAGTTAACATGAACCTGTTCAGTTTATTGCTTAACCATACAAATTTACCAAATCATTGTTATTATTCACACATTTTTGCATGAGAAACACGCCTTTCCAGCCATTCAATGATTTGCAGTTTTCATTGCCAATTAGCTGTAAAACATGGAAACCTTGAGTAGTCACTTTTCAAGATTTATGAATGAAAAAAGCCAAATTTTCAATTGCAATTGTTGATAAATTATCTCGAAATGACTAAAATTCAAATTGAAACTTTCCGTTCAAATATTTTCTCAAACGTTTTGTTCTCATTTTATGCTCATTTCCAATAAATCTCAAGAGCTTCATAGTCAAGAATCAAATCGGTAAATTTTTTACGAAAAATGCCATTTCATTTTCTTAAACTGAAATCATTTTCTGAAATTTTTGCGCCAAATGATGCGATTATATTAGGGTATCAAGTAAATTTTGCGGTTCGCTATGAAAAAAAGAATTGATTGTGGTTTTTGGTTGAAACATTACTCAGCCTTAATTAATCAGTTTCGAAGAAAAAAATGAAAATCGAACAAATATACAAAAAATTATTGCGTTTTTACAGTTTTTGAAAGGGTACAAAAATCGCCCAAAATTTTTCTATCAACTTTTTTCATCAACTTTTCTAGCGGCTCTTCAAAAAACTTCAGATTCTGATCACAATCTGTCCTGAGTGCCTGATCTCATCTCTATGGACCTCAATCCATCTTAATTTTTTGGAAAATTCATTCAAAGAGAATTTCTAATCAGGAACAGAAATCAAATCACTTTTGTCGACTTCTGAGCTAAATTTCATATCTAAACGCAAAATTTATTTGATACCCTAATAAATGGTTACGGTCAAGAGATGTGATACAAAATTCGAGTTCTGGAGTTTTCGTTGTCTCATGGACATTCTTGAATTAATATTGCAAAAAAACTGACCAGCCTCTTTACTATCATATTTATTTTTATGATGATTGATATAATTTTTGAAAAATGAGTTTTCCATTGAGTTACAGTTCGAAAGGTTCTTAAGCCATACTCTTGTCCAGTTTCAACTGTTTCTCGTATTGTTCAGGATTGCAGTAAATGTAACAAGAAAAATATTTTTTGTTTTATTTCTGCTTCAAGTGTGAAAGGCTTTTAGGTTTGCACTTGAAAACTGGACATTTTTACAAAATGAATAAACGATTTTGCAATGATTTTTAGCCATGAAAATGTCCAAGTTATTTTCTGGTAACTTTTTGCAAACTCAGAGTTTCCCTGAAAAAAAGAAAGAAGCAAAAAATCAGATTATTCAGTGGAAATGGAACAGAATTAAGTAGAAATGAATGTCAACAAGATGACAAACTGATTTCTTTTCAGACAGCATTAAATCTATAGAAGAAGATGAACAAGATGAGAAGATGATGAAGATTGGATGACAAGGAAAAGGAGGATGAAAGTTATAGGCTTACCTTAGGTACAACTTTGAATGAAAATAATGTAAACTGAGAAAAGAAGAAAAAAGCTTTTCTCTTTTGGAGAACATTTTTTTTCGTTATTCTACTCAGTTGTTATCATGGAAAACAATATTATCACTTTATTAATTCCCTTCCTTTTCCTGTTTTTACATCAACACTTTGCAAGAAGAAAGAAGAAAAAAGAGAAAATAGAGAAAAACAATTTCTTCTGGCAAACTATAAAATCTGTTTTCAGAACATGTTGTCAAACTGAAACTTGGCCAAATTCAGGCAAAGGTCAAGTTGAATCTGTTATCAATAGTTTAAATAATCTGGTAAAAGTTGGCCGAGTGAAACACTTGAAACAATTGATAAGAAAAAAGAGAAAAATAATTATCTGGAAAAAGCTGGACAAAGGTTAATCTGTTCAGGAAATGATGTTGAACAGTAATCGATGATTATCAGATTAGATTGAATTGGTAAATGCAACAGATTTTCTGGTGAAATAGCAAACCTATAAAAGCGAAAGAAAGAAAAGAAAGAAAATGAATGTAAATGAAAAGATGAACCAAAATGGAGTGACCATTATCATGTTCATGAAGAGAGAAGCATTTTCTTGTCATTTTCACTTGTCATTTCAACATCTATAAACATCAATAATATTGTACAATTGAACATTAAACCTGTCAGTTTCAACACTTGATAAAAACTGTAAATCACAGGTTTTCATCTTTTCATCTTTTCTCTTTCATCTTTCATGGTTAATCTAATTAACCGTATAATGGTGAAAATGATTTGTCACTTTATCCATCAATTTGCTTGATAACTTGTTCTTCCCCTGTTTATCAACAGTAACAGTTATAAGAATAATAATTTGATAACTTGATAATAATGGTAATAGTCACTAGAGATTGATCAATGAATGATCAAGTTAATAACTCGCCCTTTGGATGGCTTAAGTAGGAGAAGAGGGCGAACAGGCGAAAAGAGAGGAAAATCGGTAAAAAGCATTTCAGAACTTTATCCATTGAATGTAAATCGCTAATTGGATTAACCATTGAATAACCATTGAAAATGTTGAACCGCGAAAAGATTAACAGTGGCAATGAGTTTCAATGAAAAAACTGTCCACCTCCATATGCGCGCTTGACATTAATCACATTAACAATTCTGGAATTTAGACAATCGATAGGTGGCGCAAGAAGAGAATCCAAGTCACGTGAGTAAAACTGATACAATGTTTTTTCAAATTTTCCAGTTTTTCGAATTTTTGTTTTTCGAAAATTTTCTTTTCCAATTTTTGCTTTTAGCCAACATTGAAAAAGGTTGAAACTTGGGAAACTTGGTAAAAAGGTTCGGGTTAATCAACTATGAAAAAGGGTTTTGAAGTTGGTTAGGAATCGATTGAAGCGGCGAAACAAAGTTGAATGAAAAGTTGAATGAAAAGTTGATTAATTTTTGTAACGTTGATTGCTGTGAATGGATCCAAGTGAATGACAAAATTTCAACTGAGCTTCGACCTTTTATAGCTCATCTCTTCTTTTTTTTATTGTCACAGACTTTGGAAAATATTTACACTTGTTTACTCTCTCACTCTTTACCTTACTCACTCATCATCTAACAAGCTCCTCACTCCCCTTTTTGATTTATCCTCTTTAAACATTCTTACCTTTACTTTCAATTACTCTTTTCTCTCTCTCGCTCTCTCACCCTCTTTTACTCACTCATTCACTTTGATAAATTTGATGATCAATAAATATTATCAAAGTAAATTTGCTTGAATCACTTTCCCTGCTCCTCTCCCCCTTCCTCCCACTGTTTATTCTCATCTTCATCATTCCTTTTGATTCGCCAAGATGATAATGATGATGAATAAGAAGATGAGGAGAAGATGATTAAGAGTGAGTCTAGGCATATCTGTACTAATATTTACAAGAGAAACAAACAAATTTTTAATATTTGCATTGGTAACAAACAAACACAGAATCTGTTATTCCTTTAGTTTATCTTTCCTCATTCATTCATCATCATCATTTCTTTCATTTACTCAATTCGCGTATTGATCATCAATGGAAAGGTTAAATTTTTCAATTTACTATCTCATTGCAAGCCTTGTGTGTCATGTAACCTTTTTTACGCTTCTCTTGCCTTTTCAGGTTACAGATGAAATTCAACTTTTCACTCTTCTCTCCATTATCATAATGTCGTATCATTAGTATTCATTGGATCAACTCAATGGGAACATCTTTGTTTCTGGAGAATGATGATCATCATGTAATCATGTTAACAAGGTGTTGCTTTTGTGTATTCAAATCGTTATGTAAAATGTTCCAATGTTTACATGGACAAATGTATCAAAAGTTTATTCATTGACTGTTCATGGCAATGATGACGGCTTGAAATCAACAGTTTTGTTTAAAGTTGATCTGATTCTCATTCCGAGCATTTTTTTCAACTTTTCCGTTTCTCTTTGACTTTTTACTTGAACATCATTTTTCATTTAACCAATTATTTGAATGATGGCACCAAGCTGACTGGTCAAACCCTTTGTCTGGGTCAACTGTCCAGGTGCAATACCCTGTTAGGTATAGCCTAAGGTAAAAGGGTCTGTTATCACTGTAATCACCTTTTCTTTTTTTGACTTTTTTCGTATTCTTTTCACGCTTCCTTTTTGTTCTAATGCAAATAAAGACCATCAAAAATTGACCTTTTATCGAGAGACAGTTTTGTCGATTATAAATGAAGAGAAGATAACAATTAGCGATTGGAAAAGAAATGATTGAAAATTATAACTTTTTTCGATTTCAATAGTTTATCAGTTCTTTTAGTTTATTTTATTTCTCTGGTCAAATAAACTCAACCGGAACCATTAACCTTGTAAAATACACATCAAGGTTAACTGTTTTACCGTTTAATAGTGGAAGACAATCCAATAATGATATTTGAATCTCACGAAACCGGAATCAAAATGCTTTTTGCCTTTTATCTTTCAAGCTTATTCTCATCACATCGCTATTATTATCACTCCTAAACAGTTGAAATCAAGTGTCAAACGACAAAATTGCTTGGGAAATGTTACCTTTGAATTGATCTGCTAATTTTCAATCAAGTTAAATACGTTTAAATAGTTCACTTACAGACACAAAGATCTACAATTAAAAGCAAAAGGTTTCATTTCATCGAATTTTTCTAAAGCACTGAAAAATTATCTTTTTCCAGGATAAATATTATTAACTAATTCTTTCTGTGTCTCAGCTCATTGATTCAGCTTTGCTTTTTCCAAAGCTTCTATGAATCTATTAAAGTCAATATTTATTTTTCACCGGAATTTGAGAAAAGCACCCATGATAAATGCCAATTTTCTGGTGATACGTCGATGAACTTTGAATAAAACACTAAAATTTAAAAACAAAAAACTAACAATTGTCAGGCAAAAATGAGTTAAAAATGAACAAAATTTGCCCTGAAATGAGCTAATGACCTAAGCTTTTGTTGAAAATGCAAAGTCTTTGATTTAATAGAAAAAAGTTAATTATGAAAAGCCACGAAAATTAATTTAGATTAGCTTTGATTAAATTTATTGATCTACATTAATTTAGTTTTAATTAATATTATTGCTGCTCAAATTGTTGCCGAATCAAGTCTCAATCAGTGATTGTAATCAAGTTGTTAATGAATTTCCTAAAGATGAGCAATTCTTTATTGCTTTTGCATTGGTTTGATTGGTTTGGTTTCAATGGTTTGAAACTCTTTTTAAATGTCATTTTTCATCGAACCAATCAGTCTTATAATCTGGTTTGGTATAAGAATCAAATTGAATTTTGACTAAAATTTGTGAAAAGCTTTTCTGCCCAAGTCAAAGTTCATTTACCATTGAAGCAAATAATGTTTCATAATTTGTTTCTTGTTTGTTTGCTATTGTTTTATCTTTTGCTCAACAAACATCAGATGACCTAGAAAGGTGTTGGATTTATTACCTACTTTTTGGTGTTGCATATTATGTTGCCGTTCAACAAAAACTATGATCCAGCAAAAGGTTATTAACAGTGAGAGTGAAAAGGAGATAAACAAGGTAAAGAAAAAGAGATAAAAGTTTAAAGAAAAGTCTAGTTTTCTTTTTTACCTTTACCACCTTCCCTCCAATCATCATCATCATTATCATCAAAATTGGCTTCTCAAGTCTAACTATTCTCGAGTAAAGACAGTTTCTCATAGTTTCCCTCGACACACTCACATTTGCTATCGATTGATATTGCACATAATATGAAGGCAATAAAAAAAAACAAAAGTGAAAACTAATCTCGGTTAAGTAAGGTAAGGTTAGGTAAATTTTCACATAAAAATGGCAAGAAAAAAAGTTTGTCCTTTTGATAGGAAAACATTGCAAGCGCAAAAAGTAATGTTTTATTATCGCATGTAATCATTATCATTACTGTCTAAACAAATATTAAAAGCAAAAGCACAAGAGGTTATGATGAGGCTTGTTAAGTTGTGACTTATGTCAATCAGCAAGAAGTTCAATATTGCTCCGAGAATGATTGTCACAATTAATAAAAGATTATCTGAGCAACGGAATAAAAAAAAGAGAATAAAGTTTATGAAAAAAAAAGTAATAATGTTCAAGAACAAGTCGTTTGATATTGAATCTTCAACTTTGCCTAAAGGTAAAGACTTTGCTTGAATCAATAAATTTTCATTTTCAATTTTGAAACTCATGGAAGAAGGGAAAAAAGTGAGAAACTTTTTTTTCTAATAAACTAGAAATGAATTGTTAAAGAGGATGAGAATGAACAAAGGGAACACAAAGTGACCCTGATTGAGAGACGAGATTCAGGATTGGGCAAAACACTTGAAATCAATAATCTGTTCATTCTTAATGCGTCCTCATTATTATATCTTCAAGGTAACCATAATCATGACAATATGAATATTGAATGTTCATCTATTTATTGCAAAATCTCACAATTATCTTGCACTTTTACCATCATTAACATCATCTTCATGATTTCTGAATGAACAAGTCCGGTTGGTAAAGTGAATGAAGAGAGAAAAAAGGAATTTCTTTGAAAGCTTCAAACGTTTTTTCTTCATCTTCTTCAAGAGGCTTGTCTATCTAGTGTTCATCTTCACTTTTGCTCATCTTTTTTGTTTCCCTTTTCAACTGGCCAATTCAACTGGCCAATGCTTCACAAGCCGTGATTCAACTCAAGCATTCATCATCTTCATCTTTATTTTTGCCCTTCTTTACTCAATATCAAATTCCTGTCAAGGTTTTCTGTTTCACTTCCCATTCAAACATTTCTTTTTCGCCATCTACTTGATTACATTATTACCTTTATCATTTCAGATGAAATTTGGTTCAACCAAAAATAGGTTTCAACTTGCGCCGAAACAACGAAAATTTGCAAAACTTGAAAACGTTATCAACGATAATCTTTATTATAATAATTATGTTTAGACCAATATTGTAAAGTTTTTATGGCAAACACAAAAATGTCTCAATTCTTTCCTTCGACAACATTAATGATCTTTTCCTCTTTTCTGCCTTCAAACCATAAAAGTTTCCACTTTATTCACTTTTCATGTGTAAGTGACTGGAAATGGCACCAAGCTGACTGTTGGTCCAGGTCAACTCAATGTTGGGTCCAACGTCTTTTCACCAAAAATAACGCCAAAGCAAAAGACTAAACTAGAGCAAGATTGGTAAATTAAAATGGTAACAAATGATTTTTATAGTTATCATCATAAATTGCAATAAAGGTTAGTTAAGTAACACCTGCAACTCTGGCCTTTTGCGTTCTGTAACATTCGGAAGAAGTCGAATATTTATTTTGTGAAATTCTTTTTCTTGTCAAATTTTGTTCTCCGTTCTTGAACTTGAACCTCTATTTGGCTCAGTGAATGTAATGTCAATGGGAAATGTCTATTGCAAGCATATTCTCTTGCTCCTCTCTAGACCGAGTGTCCAGGTGTAATACCTGGTCCATTGCCTCAGGTAAAATACCTGTTATCATTGTAATGCTTCTTTTTCGTTGTTTTTTTGCTCAGACTTTTCCATTCATTTAGTCTTTTGACAATCCATAGTGAACATGGAAATAGAGATGAAAAATCGGAAAGAGAGGGAGAGACAAATGACCAAAATTTTGGACTCTTTTCCTTGAGATTACAGATTATCACCAATTTAACTGTTAACCGGAAATTTTGTCAACTTGGACCTTCCTAATTTATACTTACCTTTGACTTGCAGCTCGGGAATCAATTTAATTTCAAATCTCACGGAACCGGAAAGATTATTATTTCGGGTTGGGTTCTTTTAAGTTAATGTTGTTACTTTTTTATTAACTGTTAACTGTACCTTGATTGACCTCGTTAAAGTTCAAAAAAGTATCCAACTATAAACTGAAATAAATTTTCGCTCAAAAACCAAAAGGATTTCGAAAAAACTTTTCCCTTGAAAAAGCGCTAAGAATAGTAACTAACCAGAAAAAAATGATTTCATCATCGCAATAAAGTGCTTCTAAATGATCTCAACTCGAAGTCGCAATGACTGCAGAAGAACGCTAAAAGAAAGCAAGAAAAATCGGAATCTTTGGGATTGCAAGCAAATCGATAAATCGACTGAAAATAGATTTGGTTCGATCACTGTTTCAGTTGAGTTTGTCAATGTTTAAGGTTCAGTTTTGCTCAATATGTTAATATTGATTTTAAATCATTCACATATTAAGAACATGTTAGCATTTCATTTAACATGAAAGTTTTGGGCGAAGAAAGAAACAAAAATGTTTCAAATTGCAAACCATTTTAATGTTTAGATTTGTGAAGCAAACTCGAGAAAATCAAATTTAATTGCTGTTTCCACTTACATGATGATCATTTCATCTGAACAAGTGCCTCTTGAATAAGGATAAAAGATTGTTGCTCTTTTCCAATGAAATTAAATCAAATGAAAATGTTTACAATTAACACAATTTCAATTCTTTGCTTTGTTTTGTTTAAACCTTCAACTCAATATAGATTATTGCATCTCATTGAATTGGGTTTCAATTGTTGATGGTTAGACAAGTAATAAAGATGATGTGGTGATGAGACGCAAGAAAAAATGGGATGAAAAAAGATGAAGGATAAGGTGAAATATTGCTTGTTTGTGGACTCAGTCGATAAGAAAAGTATTATAATACTTAAAACAACTGCAACATCACGTCTTTTAAATGTTAAACTTTTATTAGATGTTCCCTTATATTTTTGTATATTGAACAATCAATAACGATTTTATCAGTTTACAAATGTTAATGTCGAGACCTTTCATTGAATTTAATTTTCCGTTTTGCATTCAATTTCTTTAATCGTTCCGAGTTTATTGCTAATTTCATAATATCAATCATAAATAATTCCAGAAATCTTCGACTTGCGACCTTCAAAATTATTAAAGTTTCAAGTTTGAAACAAGAGTCTATTTTTCAAAGTCGTTTTGGAAAACTTTCAAAAGTTTATTCATTTTTGTACGAAGTACTCTGGATGACACAGAATCGGTTCAAAAGGACAAAAAATCTAAAATTCAAATTCGACTGAATCAATGCGTCTTGAAACTTGCATTAATCTCGAGAGGAAATGAGAGAAATGAGAAAATGCGAATTCAAGATTTTTTTGAAAAGTCTATCGATATTCATCAGAATATTTTGAGATTGAAAAATGGTTTGAATCTTTTCTGTTTACTTCTCGAATAGTCTCTGACTTTAGCGATCAACTGTGCAAAGATAATGTCAATTGATAGAGATCATTATTCCAGATTGGATTACCGATTGTCATTAAAAATGATTTGTTTTGTTTTGTTTCACGGCAAGGCGTGTTTACCTTTTGTTTTTACCTGTCTTTCCATCTTTTCTCAGCACCTTCTTAACCTTACCGGATACATGGTTAATCAATTAAACAAGTTAACTTGCTCTTTAGTGTTCACCTTACATTCAATGAACCATTTCAATTTACCAAATCATTGTTATCAACTTACAATCATTTAAATCAATCAAAACGGAAATGAATACGCCTTTCAATTTCTCACCCTGTAACAGCAATGATGAAGCAATTCTCATTATCCAAGGTAAATCAACAGAATTTAGGTAAAAACTTGGCGAAACCATCAACACATGAAAAAAGGCAAATTTTAAAACAAGAAGAAAAGCAACGAAAAAAAAACGGAAACAAATAGGCGTGTTGAGGTCACACTTTCTTGTAATAACATACCTTTTCATGTTACCTTGTTTCACCTAAGTAGAGGCAGTAATTACATGAACATGAAAGGATTGAAAAGGGAAAAATGTCAAAACTCGAAAAGAAGAACCAACCGAAAATGTCGATAAAAAGATCGTTAAATCGCACAATTGACTTGGACTAATATCATTGATAACAATTCTCGCCATTATCATAATGCTTCACCTCCCAAGCATTTATAACATAATACCGATAAATAAATAAATAAATAGTCTTTAACCCATCAGATGACCTTATCCACCCCCTGGAGTGACCCACTTATATTCTCAATGAAATTTAATATACACTGATAAATATAAGTATACACATTTATTGAGTGACCTTTTGCCTTTTCTTGCCCTCCCATTTAACTTGAGGCCAAGGGAAAAAAGTCAAAAGAAGAAAAGGAAGAAGAGAATGAAGAAAAGGAAGGAGAAAGAAAAATGTCTTGAGGTTACTCTTGTTTGGTTAAAATTATCAAAAGACCTCCTGATGAGTGACACATATACAATCAGCCCACTCTGTTTTCAACCTCCTCCTTTCCCTTCATCATCATCTTACCTCAACAATAAACACCATAGATGAAACCATTTGTCAGTCTAAAGGTTGAGGTTAAACTCCCTTGACGCTAGCCCAATCACCTTCCTCATCCCTCTGTCAACCCAACATATCAGACTCTAGACTATTGCCAATAATGATTGCATAAAAAACTGCCTTAAAGGCACATTAAACATTGAAAACTTTCATTACTTTTACTTTTAAAAGTGATCATCAAAGTAAATCTAAAGAGGCCGAGATGTTTGTCAAGCATAACCTAAGCAACTCACTTTCCTCCCATCAACATGTAACACACAATGAACCCAGTTTCGGCAAATTTTTTTCTCTCCTTTTCTCATCTTCGCCATAATTAACATTAATTTTGCTTCTCTTCTCTCTCTTTACTTTGTCATTTCTCTTCGACTTGCCTTGAACCTTTTCAGAGTGGATTAACTATTTTTGTCGAGTTGTACAAATTTTGCTTTCTTTTCTTTTGCCTCTCGCTTTTCCTTCTTCTTTCGTTGAACAATAAATGAAAAAAAGACTGGGATTAACACTGAATGAAAAATACAAACACATCTACAAAACATATCTATTTGTATTTGAGGATAAAATAAAAAGACCACCAAAAAACCCACCAGACCACAAAATTAATTTTCCCCATTTTACCCTTGGACCCTTCCCTCCCTCCTCACTCCTCCATCTTTCCCTTCATCTTTCATCAGCTTCACCAGTATTCTTGATTATCCACAGAGAATTAACAATTTAACTTGTCTTCTCTTTCAATAATATGTAATACTATCAACTGCTCTTTGAAAGGTTCAATAATTTGCTCAATATTGGATAACAGATTTTATTATTTTCACAATTCTCCATCAAATTATCCATTTGATTTGACAAACAAAATGCTATTAAAAGTAATACCACAAGACTCGAAAACTCAATAATATGTTCAACCTTTTCCATTAAAAACCTGGTCAAAGAGCAGCATCACTAATGAAACCATTTCAATATTCAACTTTATTCCGAGTAACTGAATAACTCTATCAATACCTTTTAATGTTGTCACTATTTTCTGGTTCTCCAAATGAACAATATCAACATCTTTACCTGTAAACTCAATTTTACCAACATTTATCAAGGTTCCATCGATGAACATTAAAAGGCTTTTTGCCTTTCATTTTTGCGTTTTCAAGAACTGAACCAGTTTCCAATGAATTTTGATCAAACTAATCAGACAACACTTACGTTGAGTACAATTTGATTTTTGATCAACTAAGTTGAACAAATAATCGATGATTATGTTAATAATGATAAATGAAGAATCGTACTTTTTGTGAAAATTGTTGAAAATAAATGTTTAACAATCAATCAACTTGTGATTATTGGGAGATTAAACATTGAGTTTTGTTATCAAACTTGTTCAATGAAAAATGAAGAATGAAAAAGTTGATCTTCTTTTGCTCTTCTCTTTACATGGATTAAAGTCAATTTTAAAGGGATAAGAAGATGAAGAGGCCAATGGCTATTGAAGCTTTCTTTCACTTCTATTCACATGATGGCAATGATGATAGGTTAAGGTAGTTTCAAGTTGCTTCAGTGATTAACCTTAAAAATGATAATTCCTATTGAAATCATAAAGATCAACAAAGAACAAGATGAACAAAAATTGAACTTGATTTAGCATCAAATTTTAAACCATTATTGCTATCACTTGATTCATAACAAACTAATGTTCATTAAACATCAAAAGCGATGATATTTATGATGAGTTTGATCAACAATTTAATCAAACTTGTTTTACTCAGTTATATTTTGTTCAATTGTTGTTCAAAGCCTTTTTTGCCATCAAAAAAGGTAAGATGATGAGAGAAGGCAAAAAAGTAAAAGTTGTCTTCAAGAGGTTCAACCCATCAAAATGCTCTCAACTTGACTTTCCTCTTCTCCTCCAACTCTTCCAATACCAGTGCTATTATCGTTGCCATCATTATTCATTCAATTTGTTCATTTTTCACTTTCATGGCCATGATGAAGGTTAAATGAACATGACGATAAATTTGCTGGAAAACAATTCAGTTTGAGTTCAATTTTGTCACATTTACTTTTGAGCAAAACTATCAGCTTCAATTGAGAAAAAAGGAAATTTTGAATTCTCCAAATTTTGCTGAGTTTTCTGAAATCTCAAGTTCCATAAAATTGAAAATTGGTAAAAATATTGAAGAACACCAAAAATGAAGGAAAAATTCTGTAGCTGAAACATTCTCAAAACACTCAATTTCGCTAATGACAAAAATGCGAGAAAAAAACCTTTTACTTAAGAAGAGGAATCAAGGTGACAAAATGTCCTTTACTCTGAAAATGAACCGAGTGCGATGAATCAAAGATCGAGTTCTTTTCCAACTTAATCACATTTGAACAGGCCACTTACGTAAACCGAGAAAGCAACTCATTGAAGAGTGAAAACTTCGAACTGCATCGAAGCATTAGTTTATTCTCGACTCGGGTTGAAACTTTGCAACTCATCAGTTTGTGTTCAGAGAAAATTTGCCTAAAACTTCGATTTTCTCGACGACATCAATTATTCTAATCCGAAAGAGAAAATTCAAGCCCTTCTTAGTGGCCTTAAACTCTGCCTTTTCAATTACCTTGTTGAGGGATAAAAATGGTTTACATGATAATCTGGAGGAAATGCTCGATAATCCATGAAACCCTTGTCTCCTCACCATCAGCACTTCTCAACGGAGTAATATAGATTTACAAAATTGGTTATGATGAAAATATCACTTAAATAGTTTTCTGTTTACTCTTCAACATTGTTGCCCATTAAATGCAACAAACTGTATCAAATACACTTGTGTGCCTAAAGATAATCATATAAATAAACTTTTGCTACAAGTGATGACAATATGGTGTTGGATGCGAATCCATCATTTCTTGGGAATTTTTCAATCTGTGAAAAGCAAAAGAAAGAAAAAGTAAAATGATAAAGATTGAAGATGAAGATGCTTTCAATTGCAAGAGACAAAAAAAAGGAAAGTTGGCAAAAAGGTTCAAGTGCAACAGTAAAAAGAGAAAAGGATATTCAAAGGATTATCAAGAATCTCCATTGAATCGCCATGCAACCTTTTACCCAAGAATGACCTTTGCATTGAAATGAGCATCTCTCATCGAAATATCATGATCCAAAGTTGAACCAATTTTAAGAGCAACTTTTCCCTTTCATGTTACCTTAGGTTATTCAAGAGGCTCTTCACTTTAAAACTAAACTGTCCAAACTGTTTATCCTCATCATTCCATCTTTTATCCTTTTGTCTTCATTCCATCGTCTAGATGAGCAACATGCTTGAGATTTACTCTTGTCTTTAATGGTACCTTTGGTAAATTGTTTGTAGCACCTATTTCTTGTCTTCAATAAATATTTTGAGAGTAAATTTAGTCTACAGAGAGAAAAAAAAGTAAAGCAATCAAATAATGATAAAGATGAAGGATGTTGATGAGGAAAGCGATGCTGAAGCAGCGTCTGAAGATGTTTTAAGTGAGCCAAACATAAACAAAAAAATTACCTCAATATTGACCATGATAAATATTTACCGATTTAATTGTGGTTCATTTGAATATCTGTTAACTTGTTTTTACTTTTCATTTCATTGCACCAGTTTTACCTTGTTTATCAACTTTCAAGTTCATCTTGTCATCAAAATGAACTCATCATGAAAGCACAACACTCATCTGTTTACCTTTTCGTGTTTATCTTTTGTCTTTTTTTTATCATCTTTTCTTGTCTCATTTTGTCAGTTTTTCCCGTTCGATTCCTTGCCAATCTGTTCAGCTATCATAGCTGTTGAAATGCAAACTCAAAGTGAAACCCAAAAACGACTGTAACAGTTTATTAATAATTGCTTTGGATCAACTATTCATTTTACTCTGTAAATAAACCAACAAATCAAATCAACGTTTAAATGGAAGCTTACCTTTTGATTGTTTTTATCTGTTTGTCTGTTTATTGTATAATGTACATTTCAGGTTTCAATGAATGAATGCTTTTCCCATTCTTAACATTTTTCGCGTAACTCTCGTCTTTTATTGATATAATGATTAAGTTATCAATTTAGTTGAAATTGTTCATTGTTCAATTGAAGATTACATGTTGGTTAAAGGGAAAAACTAACAAATGTAAATATCAATAACGATTATCAAAAGTCATTTGTTTTATCCAAACAATGGAAACATCGATAATAGTTTCATCTTATTTTTTGATTAATCATAAAACATTGAATCATTTGTACTTCAACCAACAATCATGAAAAGGTAAACTCGGTTAAAAGAACAGCATTTCTTCATGACTTTAGACAATTTCCCAAAATCTTTTCTCGTTTGCCAAAATGTTTAAACAAAATCTTACGACGGTCATAAAACCAGTTGAAAACGTTTCGACAGTTCTCAGGCTGTAAAGTCGAGTTCTCAGACAAAATATGAAAATGCGAAAAGATATTTTCGTTTAGCACATCGATTGGTTTCCTTGAAGTTTAGCTCATCATTTGATCAGCTGAAAGTTGCACGAAAAAATTAGTCTTTATTTGTCATTGTTGGAGCAAAATTTGTTTTGCAAATTGATTTTATCCTAATGAACATGTCATTCATTTTGATATTGAGCTTGGCTACAAATATGTTAATGAGCTCGGTTTGTTTCATTTACGTGATGAAAATGATCAACAATAATTTGGAGAAAAGAGTTGCCATGATTGAAACAATTTCACGATTGTTATCTTTTTCAATAACCAAACATTTCTCAATGAAAATTGCAAGTTGATAAAAGCGTAATGGAAGACATTTTCACAGCTTTTTTCCTTCATTTGATTCATTGTTTTATTTATATTTATTTATTCCCAGCCTGTCATGTTGACGCTTGTTCTTGATATTTGATTGAATAAATTAGGAATAATTTTTCATTTCTTTCATTGATATTCAATGTTGTTGATATAATCAAGAGTGAACAATTGATTTAAAACCAAAAACAAGAAGAAGCAAAGTTTACCTTCAAAGCAAACAACCTTTAAATTGTGAAGTTCATGTAAGACTGAAAGGGAAGAAGAAAAAGAAAAAAGAAAATTTAAATAGAACAAAATAATTCATGGAATCAATCTTGAACATCAAATAATGTTGAGCTGATAAAATAAAATTGAAATAACATCGTAATTTGAGTGAAAAAAGGAAAGGAAGAGAAAGCAAAACTGAATATAAATTTAATTACATAACTGGATAAAGTTGAGCGACAACAATGAATTACGATTCAACATAATTCGATAATATTGTTATATTGTTTACAGAATTTTATTGTTACTTGCAATCTGAATTAGAAAATCTGAAATTGTAATGTTGACGAATCAGTTTTCATGATGACTTTCAATAACAATAAGAATACATTAGAAGCTGCATGATATCCAAAGAGAAACATTGATGGAACTTTTCCCTTTTCCAACTTTTCAACTTTTCCCATTGAAACAAATTCAAAGTTAAATGAATTCAACTCACGATTATTCATTTTTTTCAACCTTTTTTTTTGTTCCTCTTCACTCAATGAAACAATAATGTCCAAGGAATTGAAGAGCAAAGGTAATGAGAAGAAACTTTGAAATTATTTTTCCCATTCAATAAATTATCCGTTTCCATATTTCATGAGAAACTCAAGTTGAAGAAGTAAAATGTTCATTTGGTTTACGTTTTTCCAGATTCTATAGTTGCATGATCAACTCGTTTTTTGGATGCAAAAATTATTGTTATTTTTATCGTGAAAGAGCAAAAGTTTTCATCATTTTATCAAATCTATAAATATAGGAAACAATATAAGCATAACATTTGACTATTTTCATATTTAACCCAAAAAAAGATGATGTTAATGAGAATGGATGAGAAATGATGACAACTGAATAAAGGGCCAGATTTTGCGCACATAAAGAAGAGTCTCACTGAAGATGAAAAGTATCAGAAGGAAAAGACTTTTCCGTCTACTTTTTGGTTCTACTTTTCATTATAGGACTTATTTTTGCTCTTTCTTCCTCATCATCATCCTTCGCCTTCCTCCGCCTTTATCATCATCATCTTATACTTGGATGAAAAGCGAGGAGAAAATTGTTTTTCATGGAAAAAAGCAAATCATTTGACAAGCAAACCTTTCTTTTCCTTGTGTGTTGACAAGAAAGCAAATTGCAAATAACATTAACACATAATAATATTGATGATATAACAAGAAGAAAGGTGAATACACAAATGATGATGATGATAGTCTAATAGAAATATTATTTTGTCGAAATTTTGTTCAACTTTTTTGTTCATTTTCCCTTTTTTTCGCCCAACTTGGTCAATGGAAATTTCATCAGTTTATCAAAATCTATTCATCAAATGAATCTTTAAATTTTTTCTTCAGATTCCTTTTCCAGTATTGATTAATCTGTTTCAATATTTAACTTTTAATTTTACCATTTTACTATTTAATTGCCATTAAATTTACATTTTTACTGATCGATAAAAGTCGAAGCTGAAATAAATTTGTTTACCAAGAATTAATTTTCAATGTTTAATTTTGAACATTTTTTTCTGCTTCGAACGTTAAAACGCTTTTCGCTCTAAATTCATCTGGAAAGTGAATCTTGAATCTTGCATCATTTTACGCTCAATTGTTTTATCGTTTTATTGAGTTGAGATTGTTTTACCTTTGCAAGTTGCTCAAGCAAAGTCGCTTTCATCAGATTTTCGTTTCAACACCAAGCAGACTGGTTTAAAGGTCACATCTTGGGCAACCAGGTGGTCTACTGGTTGCCCTAAGGGTTAACTTTACCTGTTAACATCATAATTAAACTGCGTTTGCCGTGAAAGGTGAAAGAGAGAGAAAAAGGTAAAAGAAGAAAACACTTTTACTTCTGATAGCAATAACAATCTGAACAATAAGAAGACAACAATGTTTGTGAAAATAAAGTCGAAGGTAAAAGCGCAAGTAAAGGACGAGGAGAGAAAAGGAAAGTGTTGATTGACAATTCTTTTCAGTCAAATAAATACTGAATACAATTTGTTATTTGCAGTAATAATAAAAAGGAAAAACAAATTTACTTACTGTAAATATCTTTAACAATGTTGATGATGTTATAATATGTAGGATGCTCTATTGATTCTCATTATCATCTGAATGCTCCTGAAGCGAGTAAAAACAAGATTCAATGAAATGTGAACCAAAAGCTCAGTTTAATCTCATTTACAGGCAAATCTATTGTTTTATTGCGCTCTTTCCGATTTAAAGGTAAACATTTCGTAACATCTCATGATTTTTCTGATGCAATTTTAAGAACTTTTCAGATTATTCAAAGCAAAGCTTTTTTTGCTTCTGCCAAGTTCATAACAATAAGTGTTTTTTTCGTCTAACTTAAGCGATGGAAGAACAAGTAATCTAAATCAAATCAAAGTGACTATTTTCGCGATCACCTTCTGAGTACCAATCATACATGAAATGCAGCAAAGATAATTTGAAAATTTCTTCATTCAATCGAAGTTTTCTTGTTTTTTCGAGAACAAACTCAAGCTTGAAAATTCTTTTTCTCGATCAGAATTTTAAAAGAAACGATTTGTGCTTCTACATGAAACGATCACAGATCGAAACTCAAGTCTTCAGAAAATTTTAGAAAACCTCAAAATTCCATTGAATTAAGAATTTATATTTTGAACAGTTTCTAAAATTTCTTGAAAAATCGACAGATTTTACAATTGCAAAGTGTTCTAATAATCAAAGTCACGAATTTGACTAATTTTTGTGATTTTTTTACTCTTAAACTCATTTAAAGAACTAAAAATCACTGTTTTGCATTTTACTGGGCTATTTGCATTTTCGGGTCAATATTTAAAGTGAATAAATGCAAATATTGAATAATGATCATGAGCATTAATCGATTCAATTGGAAGACAAAAAGATTTGAGAAAATTGTTTCTGTTGTTTCCATTAATGCGCTGAATCGGCTGGTTTACTCTCGATGATAACTTTTATCCTTTCACCATCAACATCATCAGCATCATCTTGCATCTTCATCATTTTTCCTTTATTGCTTTTCATTCTTTAATCTCATTCATTGAGAATTTACTTGCAACCAAATTTCTGTGTATGTTGAAGAATCAACGATCAATACTGAGTAAGCCACAGAGTATTTTGATGAAGATGAGGATGATAGAGTCACTAGAGTGTGGATGATGAAAGGAAACAAAAAAGAAACAGTGAATATTGAAATAGAAGGAAGATGAATCTTGAATGGCAAAAAAACCTCTTTGTTGACACAATAAATGCTATTTTCGAGTTATACTTTTTTCTCTGTCTCAATGTTCATTGCGAATGAGGAAAGCAGCAAAAAGCTGACAAAGCAATCAACCAAGCAAGAGTGTGTTTTGCTGCTTTCAAGGTAATTCATACAAACATGAGTCAAGTTCAATGAAACTGTAAAAATCGAGTCTCATGATCAACTCAATTTGATAGAAGAAAATTTTCGAAAAATGAAATTTTCTTTTTATGCTGATTGTAAATCGACAAATTGGCGCTTTTGATTTACCTTTGGTTAAATGATTATCATCACTTTCATCCATAATTTGTTCACATTTGTAATCTTTACTGTTTGATGAATTTCCAAAAATGAGTCAAATTTTCATTGCTCCACTTAAATGCACTCACAAAAGGATAACATTGAATGAAAATATCAATGATACTCAATGATTTACGCTTAAAGCTTTTTCAGAAAAGAAGATGAAGAAGATGAATTGTGATGATGAGAGAGTAAAGCTTTTTCCGTGAGTTGAATGATTGCTTGGAGGATGAAGATGGGAAAATGAGAAGAAATGAAATGGAGATTATATTGAAAATGTAATCAAATTGAATTGCTAATCGAAAAGTTTTTTTCCCTTCTTTTCACACTCGACTATTATAATCAACTTTTCAAAATAAGACTTCATTTTCAATTAATAAAGCATAAGTAATTCATTTTGCATTTTAATAAAATAAAGATAACTTTTCATTTGTTTAACCTCAAACAAATTAGATGACAGGAAAATCATCTGAAGCGGTTAAAAAGTTTCATGAAATTTATTGGTTAGACAATTAGTTCGATTTGCAAATTTCCATGAATTTTTTTGGACAATAATGAATTCAAACTTATGTTTAACATAAAAAGTCTCAGCAATGAATCTCGCTTTGAGGTTCAATAGTAATTATCAAATTTAATTTTATTAAAGAAGTGAATATTCAGAACTTTGGCAAATAAAATTCAGTTAACTGAAAACTCGGGTTTAAATGACTTGGTAAATGATCATTAACTAGACTAATGAGTGAAGTGTTAATGATGAGAAATACTTGTGAGTAAATATAAATGGAAATGGAAATGAGAGATTGAATCATTTCAGTTGTGAATTATGAACCAACTGAATTGACAAAGATTCTTGAATCAGCAAATTCAAATGTCAATCAATAGTTTCTTTGCAAATTCTTGATCACATGATAACAATTCTTGAACTGCAATCGAACTTTTCAAATCGATATCAACGTCTAAATTTTACAGTTGATTCAAAACAATTGTGTGAGGCTAATTAGGTTGATCAATTTCTTTACACAATTTAAGCAATTGCTTCGATTTAAGAGAAAGGTTGAGTCGGTTCGATTTCCCGAATACAAGTTCGATGTTTAACGTTTCTTGCTTTGGAAGTTGTTAGAATATTTGACACTTTTCTATCGAAGAAAAATTTCTGTTCATTTGACGTTAAGTTTCATTTTATAAATAAATGGTTAAGCGATCATGTTTGTTAAGTTAACATTTACAATCACGTTTAAAGTTGCAAATTTTTAGTTGAAAATTTTGATATAATCTTGTCATGGAAACATGTTTTGATGGAAAAATGAATTTTTTTACAAAATTCTGGTCATGTTCAGTTGAGAAGACAAATGAGATGCTCAGAATAATTCAAATATTTTATGATACTTTGCTTATATCTTGTTTATCCACTTCAATAAATATACATAACAATCTTGAAAAAACCGCAAATACACAA